GACTGGCTGTGAATGCTCTTGAAACACTCGACGGTAGACTGACGAGTTTCGAGTATCTAGTAAAACTGAGATTGAAGTGTAAGAGAGTCAAGAGACAAAAAATTGTGGAACTTACTGAGAGAAGCCACCGACATGATCTTAGTTCAGAAGCCTACTCATTGTACTTTTTAATCTAGTCTGACCTAAGTGGTAGAACACAACAAAGCGGTGTGATGTGAAACGATGTTATTTCAGCCCGTTTTATGTTTGATATACAAACTCGAACAATTTGTTTTCAGAAAGACGTGAACCATTGAATGGAAAATGCAGACGGAAGGGAAGAGAAATGCGAAGACACGGCTAACGGATCGATTTGGCGACCACCTATCAGTGAGGTAAGTATAGAGCTTCTTCAAATCTAATACATGATGCATGCCTCTTCATCAGCATCATCGCATAGCGAAAAACAGTGAACGGATTGCTACTAAACTCAATACACACAAATTTCGTACTGAATGAGGAGTGGGTCTACTTTAAAGGATTGGGGAAAGTGAACTTCTAGGGTCAAAACAAGTGCGCAATCTAATTGTATTTACACACCACGTCAAGCATTTCCACCGGGTCGGAAATGATAAAAACACCATTGCTACCAGATTAATTTATGACTAGTCTCCACATCGGCTGATGACATACGCATGAACTTCTCCCAACCTGAGTCCATGAAGCCATCTCGAAAAGAGCGCTGAAAACGGTCAAGCTCAGCTGTTTTCCCCTACCCTAGGAGCTTTAATGCAAGACCATATATCTCATTCTGCTTGAGGATAATATGACACTGCTCAAGTAGTATCATCTTCAGTGGACGATGCATTCTATCTAGCGCCAGACCAACTGAATTATTCCTTCAAGTACTAATGGAATACGGACGGAACAATATCTCGTTGTTTTTGGGTTGTTTAGCTTAGATGAACGATGGAGGATTGGTGTTAGTCAACAAGGAGTAAGGTAGTTTGACGAGATGGGAATCACAAATATTTACTACAAGAGTGAAGCAGTATGATCCAAGGCAGGGTCTATTGATCTACATTGGCTGCTGCTGCTACGATGGTGAATTCTGTCTCCCCATAGGAAACATACTATAACGAGATACATGTAATTTCGATAAACTCAATTCAAGCTTGTGAACAGAATTAACAGAAATATTAGAGATGAATAAGTCTCTCCACCTGCGAGAGAGAACCAAAAGCAACGTAGTCAACATTCACTTAAACTTTCAAACAGGACTAGATCATCGGTTCGTGAAAGTCCTTAGACATAGGCCACAGGGTCAAAAGTAAGCAGTTCAGCAAATGACGGTCATCCCTGGTCCATGGTTTATAGTCGTTGACATGTACGCGCATAGTAAGAAAGTGACGGCTATTGATTTCTATAGTCAGTGTATCACTTGATTAAACTGAGGAAAATAATCGATAACTACATTTCGAGCGATTAAAATCAACGGTTTTCAGTAACTTTTCTGAATGGGATGAAAATAACACGTTATCAGTGAAAAACGATCTAGTTGTTGATTGAAGATCAAAACGATGTAAGGTAGTACCAAACGACCTGAGGTCTAATTCCAGCAAGGTTTTTAGAAGACAACACAAATGATTGTCACTTACAGGCGGGAAAGGGGATTTGAGGAATATTTTTGCCAATTTTATAGTGAATACTCATTTCAGATTGACTGAGTGATTTGCGAACGATATGAAGGCCAGCTTTAGTTTAAGCCATTTGGAACCTAAGATCAGATCAACTAGTGAATGAAACATTGACTGCCTGATTCCACAGCCGCGACTCTAAGAGTAGATTTTAGGAGTATCAGAGGAAAAAGTTACGACCGATTCTCCCATCAATCTGAATTGACAGCGCCATATTACGGAAGGTTGGTTCAGTGGGGATCAGATGGTCGAAGCGCGCTACCACCGACCACTTACCAACTTGATGTCATCCGGTGTGTCCGACAGGTTGCACCGAAAACTCAACTTCCATAGTTCGCTATTGGGATTGTTCAAATCGGGCATTTCCAAATAGAACGTAGGACGAAGTGCGCCCGGTTCATTGCTATCGGTATCTCGTTCCAGTTTGGTCACACGCAAAATGTAACGTGGTTTGGATTTCATCTTTTTCTTCACCTTCCGATCCCCTTGCTGAACAGACGCAGACAAACAGTGAGACACCAACGTGGCGAAGTGATCGCCAACCCGGATGGGACGGAAAGGAAGAGCAATAACAGATGATCGAAGTGACAGCACGACAGAATGGTTTATCTAAGAAGATCTGAACCTAGTTTGAAAGCGAATTATTGCCTACAAGAAGACGGAGATTGACTAAATAGCGAATCAACAACGAGGGGCAATGAGGGACGGACGAGTTGAACTACATCTACGTGGAGAGATGTGGAGGGGGGGACTGTTCGCAAAAAGACCTAAAAATCAGGGTTTGATCAACATGTGTGTGATAAACTCAGTTGTTGTTCACACGGGAACTGCATAGCGCTCAGCGAGAAGTGAGATGGACACGGATTGGATTCGAACCAACGAAGAGGAAAAGAATGCAAGGTAATCAGCATTAAAGCCGTAAGGGCCAGCACAAGAATATCCCATTAGGTGTGTTAAGCTGGCAGAGAGATCAAAGCGAAATTCAAAATCATGTGACAATCTTTATTGGCAAAACCTGTTTTACAAACAAAAGAAAATCAAATCATGAAACCTTGAAGACACGTCATGATAATAATCGGACTAGTTTGCATGCCAACCAGATACAAGAATCCATAATTCATATCGGTGGAGTAATATGCACAAAGATTTTTAACGCGGTCTGTTGAAATAGCCTGTAAGACTTTTATTTGTCAGTAGAAAATAACGGTCGAGTGATTCTTAAGTGTTCATTGCATTCTTGCTGTATCCTATTTTTTTACAAACATACAGGTACAGTAATCTTACAAAGATCAATCTCCTCTAATCTTATTCTGATCAGAAACAGCACCTGAAAGCATCCACTTGCCACGTGCGTACAAAACAAGCGAGTGCCCAAACTACCAAGATTGAGTTCGTTGGTAAACAGGGAATGAAGTCGCTGATAAACAAATTCAATAAGGATAGTAGCGGACAAGCACATCTAATTTACCATTGCGATTTATAAGAAGCCAAAACGAAGGGAAAGAGTATTATGCATAGAACTGACCGTACTGCACCCGAGATTTCAATCAAACTCACCTCTGGAGCTGAGGCCTTACGTGTACGATTAGTAAGAAGGTTGGAAAGTAATGGGGACAACACTGAAGATAAACTATCAAAACCGGAAGCTCGTGCGGCTGGAGTGGTGGCAAAACGCGTCAGAGCGATACCCGGCTCCACAGCTGAGTGCCGTTTAATGGGCATTGTCAACCGCGTGAGTTGTGATGGACGACGCGCATCCGACGGGTACGCATTAGAACTATCGCCCAACTCGTACGTGGATCCAAAGGTTGGACCCACTGGAGACGGTGGTGTGGATTGCACATCGGACCTTGAGGGGACAACGGTACGCAGACCCAAAACCTTGGATACATAGTTACTCGGATGGTGAGATGACGCGTGACGAGATAAAGACCGAGGTTGACGCCGAGTGGATAGCAAGCAGCCATCACTGCCGAATCGATGCGATTCTATGGCCACTGAATAAGGGTTATTCAGGGCTAATGACAAGCGACTGGCGTGTGTGGGTGGATATGAATAAAAATTGGTTGCTGCATTGGTGGATGCCTGGGATGGGGTTGGACTGGAATTGCCGGATATGAGCGATGCACCGAGTTTACGTAAATTATGCATAACGCTGGATCGCCTGTTGCTGGAACCAGCAGCTGTAAATTGGGGATGTGATGTCTTTTCACATGAGCCAAGAAGTCGCGCATAAACGACCACAGATGGCAGATTGGTGCGTTTGTGCGCGGTGAAACCAGCGTGGTTTAGAACACACGATTATATAGACACAAACATATACACACACATCAGCAGATTGATTGCAACCGGTGTCCAACAGAAAATATCATATTACGTAAAGTTTGCGAGCACGCATTGATGTGCCCAGTATTCGTGAGCAAATCGTACATGCATGTGGCAATGAAGACATAAGGGGGAATGGGGATCAGGAGCCGAATATTAGCATAAACAGCAATGGCAATAGCAGCAATAGCAGCGGCAACGGCAGCAAATAGCAAATGCGATAGTAAATAGCACACAGTGGGCACACGAGCAGCGCCGTGATTTACGTACAACAAATGTGTCGACACAGTGTAGAAAATAGAGAAAAACGAGAAGGGGAACGGAACGAAAGGAGGCAGAATCGTTAGTCGGTTAGTGTGGTATCGTAATGCGAACGAAAATGTGAGTGAATATCACTCAGCCAAAGTAGACGGCGGGATCGATTGGGTCGCATCCCGGATAAGGTCAACATGCAACGTCTTCATAGATAAAAAGTCACCGCCCTAATACAAATGGACCAAATACGTTGTTTTGCAAGTGGGGTTTCTAATGAAAAATGAGATCTGCTAAATAAAGTGATCACTTTAAGTTCGTTTGGGTGCCGCAATGGTGTTTGGCTATACGGCTATCCCCAATTCTAGTCTCCTCTCAAGGGATTGCAATGAGGCCTTTGGTTATGACTGTGAAGTGTAATGCTCCGTCCGGGGTACACGTAACGAGCATAAGGACGATGGCCCAAATGGGCAATACAGTTCACCCAATGAAACAAGGAGGAAATTCATGCGCAACTAAAGAGGGATGGATAGACAAAGTAGAAAACAAAATCCTGAAAACAAAAATTTCAATAGCTGATGTTCCTCCTAACCGACTTCATTTGGATGTTACCGAAACATAAATGAAAACATTCGACCAAATGAAGGACAGCACTGATTGTGGTCACTCCATGACAGATGAAATGAACAGCGTAAAAAATATTGAGCTGGCATGATAATCCATATTGGCCGAACAATATCTGCACTGCCAAGTCAATTAGGAATGTCTGGACCACATAGTAGTGTCAAGGGTAAGAGTCGTGAGCATGTTTTCGAACTTCGGCACTATCCGTTACATTGAGACATAAATGTGTGGTGATATTTGAAGTATTAAAACAATTTTCCTTTGTTGGAACAGATAATTTTTCATTTTAAATCTATCGACAGGACGTAATGTGATCACAACACAGAATTGAATGTCCCATTAATCAATTTATTCACTCTTCATGCACATTTAGTCCACTGATTCCCTCAGTAGTAACTGCTCCAGGCACTTGGCTTTAGTGCATCGCCTTCCTCATTGATCGAATAAACGTATAGAGAAAAGACAGCAGCTAAACAAGCAAGTGGAAGTTACAGGTCAATGGTTGTACAAAATGAATTGACTGAATGACAGAAACTGGTTTGTGAAGCGATAATGAACCGAGCGTTCTCTGAATAGAGAACTAAACTAGCTGACTATACTCGAATGAGTTCAACAGCGAATTTACGCACTGACAAAGAGGAACGGCTTGATCAGAAAATGCAGAATATACGAAGTGCGATCATCAAAAAGATGGACCGTGAAACAACCAAACAGGAAATTTTGACGAAACTATCTCCTGTCAGTGTGTTGCAGATTCAAAGAATAATGCATTATTTTGAAAGTAGGGAATCAACCTTTCAACTGTTTGAATACAACTTTGGCAGTCGTGTGATAGATCTTTTAGTACCAACTGAATTTGAAGTCAGATAGGGACGGAAATGATGTCTGTATTGCCCTCGTGGAAGTACATCAAAACTCACATGAGGACAGAAAAAGAAACATTTGAACGGGAACGTATCAGCGTAATTACCCGCAATAAGTACAGAAGAAATAGCCTCTTCCCACTCACATGCTGGTGTGTTGTCAAGGATAGAAACAGCTCTAATATCATATTGAAGTTCGATCGCCGGATTCAATGGTATAACTAAAAAAGTCACTTAATTAAATGCAAGTTACAACACACGTACTTTCCGGATTGAACATCGGATATCAGCTAATAGCTGTTTGGATTCTAAGGAAAAGCTGTCGACATAAGAAGACAGCAAGTAGGGTTTTTGCATTCGTGAGAGTTTGTTAAAACAGTGGGAGCCAGCAGCATTCGTCACACAGATATACACAGACACACATTCCCGTTGGGACCACAAATAGAGACCCATGGATAAGGGCTGGTATGGACTTCAGCATTTTTTATCACGAATGATGAACAGAAGGGATGGGCACCAGTCACAAGGGTCCGCATTAGACGACATCACGGATTGTATCAGATGAGATAAGGAAGATAAATTGAGGATAGAAAAGAAAACAAGGGAGGATAGTCTGGAAACATACACTTGAACTAAAAAATTGATAACTGATGTCAATATTTGGATGAAAAACGGTATAGAACTTCTGTTCAGTTTAAACAACAATTAAGCATGCATTTCGGTGAGACGCCTTTGGTTGCTGTCTTTTGTCTGCCCATTTAGGTGAACAATAGGAGGAAAACAAGATGCCCATAGTAGCCCTCAGTACATTTGATACTTTTAGTAAAACCCCCACAGTGGACATACGGAGAAGAATAATGCATATGGTATTTATAAACCAAAGAATACCTTTGGAGATAAAGCTGTCACGGACTGTGCCAAAGGTTGTTGCTGAGCTATCGGAGCGGCCTGAGAAACACCAGGCAAGCATCCAGAGTGTCCTGACGAATGGGGTACACCAGGAGGAACCATTGGGGTAGCCTGTGGTGCGATACCCATTGCATAACCAGGAGCGGCCGGGAATGCGGCAAGCTGACCCGAACCGGACGCTGATGCCGCGACACTCATAAGCGCCTCCGTGAGTTGGTTCAACAAAATCGGCTGAAAGATTAATGATTTCAAAAGCGACTCTCAGAGCTTGACAATCGACCAGCGGTTGATAGAGCAGTAAAAAATGCGTGAGCGCTCAAGATGAAATAAGCTTGCAGAGACTGCTTCCTTTCTGACATGAGCTAACTTGTCTAACCAGCTAACTAAAGCATGAAGTGAATAATTAAATATGATTATACCGGTGAGGGATTTGAGCTTCACTTAGAACGACAGGTACATAGTGCTAATGATACGCAAAGAGTATCACCATAACTGAATGATGTTTCTCAGCTTTTCGTTGAAGGCTTAAAGAGTTGTATGCTAGACGGATATTCAAAATAAATTGAACAATTGTAACAAACAAAGTCCGACAGTGCTTGTGAAATTTATAACGCGCTCCTGCGATACTCTGGAGGGTAACGTTTTTATAAATTCATCTCGGTGTTTAAACTACACCTGCATGTGCATTATTAAAACCAACCAGGACGAAGCGAATCAATCCTGCCATTGACTTGGGAGCGGAGTGAATGACTACAACTTATAGTATCACTGAATAGTATTTTTTGTGGATGTGGTACAGTAAACCTGGAACAATGCGATTATCGTCGATTCCACAGTACATCGTGTGTTCGAGAAACAAAGAACACCGAATACAAAGTAAAAAGCCGAATCAAAGATTTACAAACAATAAACAATGGAGATCTTAGTATACATATAAACCAAAGCGAGAATCGAGGTTCGGGTTGCAGCAAAAATCGATGTGATCCGCTTATTATCTCCCTAAAGGTATACCTTCTCAACTACACATTCATACAAACAACTTTTGAGGGAAGCAGTCAGAGAATACAACGATAAGTGGTGGTAGCATTTGAAAAACAACGATCTCCACTGCAATTGTTGACCGTCGTCGCCCATAAGCAATTCAGGCATTAAAAGCAGGTCGTTTGATCAGTATAATAAGGTTGTATTTGTTGGACTTGATTTGCAGGTAAGCAGGTTCGCGGGTGTATGAGATCCATTCAATTTTTCTCCGGAAGTACAATAAATCGAGTGTTTCTGTACACAATACAGTATCAGAATGCAATGCTGGTCAACCTTGAATTGCGTGAACATTAATAGTTAATCCTTTCAGAATTTATTTCACCCTAAACATATAGATTGCAAACCTCGACAGATCCACATGAAAGCAAACACGTGTTAGGCTTAAGCCGATGAAAATGGGGAGATCGTGGAAAGTGGTACACAATCTTATCAAAAATTTTATGAAAATAGGAAAGCTGACTGAATTGTGATGCTTCAAGAAAGAGGGTACCAATCTATTAAAGGGTCAAACAACAATTCATCAAAGATGGGGAATACACTAATAGGAGAAAAAAAAGAAATGTTACTAGAGCACAACCATTTAGAGAGGTGAACTGCAGTAACCCTTGAATCGGAAAATACAGGGATAATAAATTAGTAGTTTAAATAGAGTATGACATGAGCTAGTCGCTGCAGTTTATTAAGAAGTGATTACTTTGCATAGGAGTTGTACGCGTTCTGTTCATTGATGCCCTAGTTTGTTTTGATACATAAGACACGGTCGAGAATTAAATACTTACATCGATTGAGCTGGTAACGTCCGAATCCGTTGGCACGGCGACAGGAGCTAAAATAAAGGAACACACGTACTGCTCATTATCCTGGTCTTGATGTTAAAGTAAAAGCATATAAAGTTAAGAGATGGCGGAAATGAGATCAATGTATTTATGTATTTAACTATCACTGTTGGAGCTTCGCACACTACAAGCACTCCCCGGTTGCATGTGTGACATGCACGTGGCATATAAGCACAAATATCCTGCGCACGATTTGGAGAAAGTATGCGAAAACCAAATCCAAGGAGCTATATCGAATTAGAAACGATATTCAATAATGGAAACAATGGTGCTTCTTATGATCGATCAGGGGGAAAAATTCAAGAGTAACATCCAGACAAGCAGGCCCATACGCTTAGCTTTTGATAAGAACCAATGATGTTTCGTTCAGACCGATAGCTCGAAAGCAACTGCATGTGTTGCGTGCGTGTATGTATCTACGCGTGCATACCACACAGGTAGAGCGAGAGAAAGACAGACATACATTACTCGGTTGTCTCGCGATAGCCACGCGGCGTCATTCGACCAGTTTGTGCAAACGACTAAAACCAGCAGTGTCTTCGGGGGGTCGTAAATGGTGCCTGTGACCTGAATTACTTAGCCGAAAACAAATACACAAACACACAAATTAGAATGAAAGGCGTGTTCCACTTCAATCAAGGTTAAGCTCCTGAAAGGACATCGAGGCACGTCGGAATCAAGCCGGAAGCCAACCATTTGCGCTTATGAAAAGGTAACGAATACATGGTTACACGCTTGACCATGCCTTTGGGCTGCCGAAAATCGATTTCTTGGGACATGTATAACAAACTTGCAATGCGAACGCTTGTAGTTGACTTTAGGATGAAGAGATTGGGACGATATGAAATGCTCATCACATTATTGATAAAAGCACACGGATCATTTACGCTAACTGTATTGTTCGTTGAAAGTTAAAAAAAATTATATATATATATATATATATATATATATATATATATAATACGCCTACCGAAATTGTGAGCAGAAAACACAGTTGGATGTAGAGCACTATAAGTCTGCGGCCAGCAGACATGTATACTACCCGGCAGGATCCAGCTTGAACATAGGAGAATGACCACTTAGGTGACTACTCACGAATAAGATGGCGTTGCTTCATGAAGTGAACGGTCGTGGACGAATAGCGCAATACCTGAGGATTCAGTTTTGTTTGTGCTAGGCTACTGATCTCTTGGTGACGACAAACCACGAATGTTTGAGGAAAATATTAGAACGTATGTGAATGGGATCAACTATTATCTCATTTCTTTTAATAGTAGCACTTGGATGAGTAGAGTCAAAAATGCCAAGCGCTGCTGTGGATGCGGTCTTACATCATCCGTATGAGATTCTTCATGAATTCGTTCACGAAGCCAACAAAAACTCATGAGTAAAGAAGTCACCTAAAAGGGCAGTACGAATACGTGGAACTGTTTGTTTATCGATCAACAATTACTAGCTCAGTGCCGCAAGAATTATGACGTGTGAGTTAAATTATATACGCCAAGCATTACATAATGCCGCATTCAGCGGAAGCCAGACCACTGACGCAAAAGTTGTTAGAACACTCTTAATTCTCTCGTTGGGAATAGCATTAATGGAAACCGTAAATGGGTACACACAAAAAATGGAATAAAAAGAACTTTAGAGGTCAGGAGAGATTTGAGTAAAATGACAAATCATGCACAAGTATGTAACAAATTTGTATGATGATGTCGTGAAACGTATATGAAGAGAGCGAACGTTCCGATGCGACACGGAAACAATAGTAGTAGCAAGAGAACGGTAAAGTAAAAGTGGGTGTCCGGAGAGAGAGAGAAATAGAGAGAGACGGGGGAGGGAGAAAGACATGATTTTCTCGAGAACTGCACTGACAACCGATGAGCAAGGTTGATTTGGTTGAGTTTCGGACGTAGAATATGGAAACGCTGATCATTCGGGGTTGGTGAGTACAGGTGGAACGAATTTAACGACTATCTTTTAGCTATTGGATACATACAATAACAATATACAGTTAGTGATCAATAAACCGTAGAAAATTGTCTCATTTGATGAGTCATTCGCGCATTGCAAAAGGATGTTAAACGCCAGGAGCGATTATATATACATATTATATATATATATATATATATATATATATATATATAATATTTACATAAGTATACCTAGTGGGCAAAACAGACGGAGAAAAACAATAGCAGGGAATAAAAAAATTAGCTCACCATACTATTCCAAACACGATGCAACTAGTTAAAGCAAAGGTGCACCGGTACAGTTCAAAAAAATAAAGTGGGTAAAACAACAATCTTGGGCTGGTCATCGCAAATAGAAAAAATGCTTGATATCGGCATTATACCAACAAGATCACAGACCAAATAAAATCTCGAGGATGCTTACCAGGACCAGACTGTGTAGTTAAATTGGTCGTCATCATGGCTTGTGGATCAGTAATTGGTGCGTGAGATGTGCTCACGCCAGTCAATGCTTGATTTAAACCGGCTGGAACAGATTGCGGAGGTATCCCAATAGGTGGTTGGTTCGGAGAGAATGACTGTGGGGCCGGAATAACGTCAGTGCCTGTGCCTTGTAAGACGTTGGCACCCAGCAATTGAGACTGCAGAATGGCCTCCTGAATCACGTAAAGAGTGGCAGTGATAACTAAGCAAACAACCAAAATCGGATGCGTAACACTTTGGAAAATGCACCACAAGGATCAGCCAACTGTTCACGAGGTTGCTTACAAATGAGACAATCTATGGTAAGGAAATTAAGGTCTAGCAAACAAATTCGATGAAACCCCAAAGTTGAGAACTTGCGTTCTATGTGTATGCATAGACTGGGAGTACATTGGGTGAAATTTGGATGTCAATGGACCTAAGCAAGGAGTAATGTCAACCACCAAAACGGTAGAGAACGATGGGGGGAAGGCTAATCCATGTATTTTGGTTTCATATGGTTATGGAAGAAGTCACCAGAAGAGTGAATAGTCAACAGATCGGATTAAATAACGCACCTGAGATAGTATCGGTAACGAGGTGTTTGCCGCTCCAGCAGTTAGCAAGGATTGAGTTTGTTGACCAGCATTTACACCCTGTTGACTAGAACTGCCAGCCTGGTCCGCCGCAAAAGCTGCAGTAGCAGCGATGAGCAACTGCTGCTGCTGTTGTGGTGTTAACTGTTGCGTAAGTGGGAATGGAACACCGGAACCCACAGGATTTTGTTGCACCTGGAATGCGAAGTGAAACCACGGAAAAGTAATGTTCAGCTCACGTGACTGCTTCGGATGATAGTGTCGTACGTCCAATTGATTGTCAGCAGTATAACTGATAAGAAAAGAGTAAAACGTTTTCCAACTGACTACGTTGGGCGATATTCGGCTAAATCTCCAAAACGATCAGAATTTCAGGGTGCTCGAGAGAGAAAAAACAATTGCGATCAATTGCTATTTTGTTCCTTTCTTTCGAGCACAATCCTCACTGTCCTGTGATCATAGCAAACTGACACGAGATGATTCTATCACTTATTGTTTCTGCTTGGATGAGAAGCTCCGAGTTCCAGATAAAATTATCTCACTACTTCAATAAGAGGTGAGGTGAACGTCGGTAGAATAATCACAACCATGAACATCAAATTGGACGCGGAAAATGGACTTCACCAGGTTGACCACCGCGGCAGCTAAATATGTCTAACAGCGGCGTATAATGCTGAGTTGCTTTTGCGGCTTACCTATTCGGTAAACAACCAATATTAGCCAGAAGAAAATTCGGTTTGCGACATATAATCAGGTCTCATTACAATTCGTTTTACAAATGATGACTGCTTTGCGTTTTTAGTTGCACGACACCCGCGATCTGATGAATGAAAGACAAAATATCTGCTTCGCTGTGTGTGCGAAAAGGGAAGCTGAGCTGAGAACCACCGTATTTTGTCATTAAAGGCATTTTCTCTAGACCTGGTAAATAACGGATATCAGCAATTCAATGTAGACGACGATTGCAAATCGGTCTTTGAAACCGAGCTCATTGATCGTCTCTCAGTTCAACCAACCGCCCATGGACGAAAGAAGTTAAATGTAAGTAAGCTATCTGCATGTCGATCAAAATTGGTGGATTCCGGTGCACGATCTAAGCACAATCGATGGATCTCCTAGTTTTTGATTGCCCTGCTGAACGACTGCAGAGCCATTCTTCCTGATATAAAATACATGCATACATATTTCACAAACGTCTGAAGACTGTGCCAAACAAATCACGGTGCAATAATATTTATAGAAAGAAAAATGTTTCGTGATTTGCATGTGGGTGGAATACTGCTAGGTTGCCCAGGTCAAGTCAGGTGAATCTTCTTGAGAATTCACAACTTTAGCCTAACCCGCAAGACAGGGGGCGATGTGAGAAAACCGCAATCGATTGCGGGTCGTTGTCCAGTTCATCGGATCATACACCCTTTGGACGGGGTCAAACGTCCGAGGTGCCTCAAAACCCCTAATACCCAATCGAGCCGGTGACCACTGCCACAACCAGGAAGGTGTGGTTCGTACGCCTCCCCTTGGATGGTTTGGAATCAGGGTTTTTAGCTAACTATCAGTGGTCCACCAACTCGGTTTTAGTCCCGGATATTGGCTCCTCGTTCTCTCACTTTGGTGGAAAAACGCCTATGTCNGGCAGTGAGTACGACTTCCTCAGATCAAGGGAGAACAAAAAAGTGGATCTGAGAAAAACATGTCCACGTTCTCGAATTAGACGAAGAATGAAAAATGTGGTCTACCACACTTTTGATAGACCGCTCAATAATTTGGCGATGCGTCTACCTGCAGGTTGTGCTCGGGAAGTTTATTTTAGTATTACAATCCCATTATATTAATAGCCGAATCCGAGTTCGAGCTTAAGACACTCTTCCGAATTCACAGCAGAATATATATATATATATATATATATATATATATATATATATAATGCAATATCACGGCTCAAAACTAGTCATCGAGTGGTGAGCGTTGTTGTTAGTTGCGGTTAATAAGTTCTCCTATAAATATTAGAATTAATCAGATCGCAGTTTGGTACTTAAAATACGAAACCGTGTGAGGTTTATCATCAAGATGAGATATCAGAAATAAATAAACACAGCAAATGGTGGTGCAATAGCAACGTACCATGGGCTGAACTAGCCCCAGCTCGGCCAGTATTTTACCAACTTCTTTTGGAGAACCACTAGCGATTCGTTGTAAAACTTGTTGAAGAAGTAGATTTGATCGTGCCACAGGGTCATTATTGGCGGACAGATCTTGTCCAGCTTNTTGAAGGCGCCGCTAACAGTGGAAGATGGTATCGGTGCATACGATCCGGTGTGTGCGGGATGAACTGCAGCTTGTGAAAACACGTGCGGAGCGGACGAATGACCTATTCCTGGATCCGAAGGAACCCGATTCATGGTCACATCTGAGTCCAATTGTTGTGCAGGTTGTTGTAATTGCTGTGTCAACTGAGGATGAGTGGGTTCTAGGTTGGGATTGGACAGTGGCTGTAAACCGACATGTTGTGCAATTGGTTGTTGTTGTTGTTGCGACTGGGGTGGTTGTTGGCCGATAAGCGCATCTGGAGGTACCGGTGTCGGGAGCGGAGTAGGCACAGGTGTGGTTCCGTTAGTACCCAAGACTGGAGAAAGGGGAGCAACTGAAGCTGAGGCTGGCGTGGTAATGCTGAACTTTCCAACCGTTGCGACACCACCGCCAGTGGCAGCGCCTGCTGAGGATGCCGTGGATTCCACTGGATCACTAAGTAGTCCAGAGGTATGTGTGGGGTGCCCTAGAACAGAAGATGGGGTGATCGTGGCTGCACCGACACCGGCACCTACTTCTGCAGCCGATGAGGTAGGTAACATAGTAGATGTTGCTGTCGGATTAGACGTGCTGACTGCAGTACTTCCGCTCGCCGAAGTAGTTGTCATAGTGGTCGTGGTGCTAGTTGCAGCTGCCGTGCTAGCGGAAGGTGTGGTCCCAGTTGCATTTCGATAGGCTTGTATTTCTTTTTCTAACAGTTTTTTAGCTCGAGTCCATTTACTTTTATATTGCCCAATTATAGCAAAGCTGCTAGCTTCACCTGAAGTTCGAGGGAGAAGAGGTGAAATAAAATTCAAGGGGGTGTGAAAATACCGAGTGCTGTTTCTCCCAATATTGTACACAAAATAAGAAACATGCATTTCGACGAATGGTAAGTTACCGCTGGAAGATGTCCGTTGTTGTACTACTAACTCTATCAGAACCTTTACACATGTAAGCAGTGGTGGTCAAACGATATGCGTTGGCATCACATCGACATTAAAGATGTGCTTCAATGTGCTTCAATCCCGTCAATATTACCTGAAATTCTTAATTCATTTCTCTCCTCGCAGGTCATTGATGAGATACGACGGCATATATTTATTGAATAACGGAAACTAAACAACTATTATCCTTACTATATGATGGATTCATAGAGTAAATGAAGCGTAAGCTGAAAAGCTAGGAAGCACTGGACGGCTGTTTCAATATGATCGGGTCTCACCGGCAGTGCGAATCCATCGACTCAACGAGGGATGGAACTCAGGACCAGACTGTTTGCGCTTTCATCATTGTTCAGAGAGATTACTAAGGGTTTTACATAAAAGTGGGCCGACCAGGAGTAAAAGATCCTAACCAATATCTGGAATACATTATTGATTTTGCGGGACCACGTCGACGTACCAATAGATATCGACTAAGTAGTGAGTTGGCATTGACAGAAAAACTTATACCTATGTTTTTGGGGGATAGAGCGTAATGTGAGGGAAATCAGAAATGGGTAGAGACAACCAACAGGGACGTAAAAACTACTGCTGACGTTGTTTCCAATAGGTGAAAATGGGCACCTTTGGTCTATGTGATATTGGTAACTGTAAGCTCCGTGGATCTCCTTTAACGTAAATCTTATCTCGGTCTGATTACTCGCTTGATTATTCACAATCTCAGTTGAGTTGAGCAAAACGTAAGCACCTTATCGTACGGGATACTTATATGAATATCAATGCGAGTAATCAGACCGAGATAAGATTTACGTTAAAGGAGATCCACGGAGCTTACAGTTATCAAGATTTCCCGAGTCCGCGTAAATAAACAACGTGATATAATCCACAGAGGTCGTACGTAATAGTCCGGTGCGCAATCGATTGTGTGGGACCGTAATCACCCGGACTAACGGGCNNNNGGTCAGAGTGGGGAGGTGACAGGCGCGGTAAGTACGTGTATGGTTATATGGTGAATAGATGAGCGAACCTGGAGGTGTATCCAAATAGAGATATGAGAAGGAAAACGTACGTGCATCTGCATCACTCTCTTCGTCCTCATCGACTGTCGAAGTGCCATCCGGCCGCTTTCTGGAACGCGGTTCCGAGACCAATGAATCCAAAATGGCCTTCCAACGTTTACCTAATAAAACTTTGACTAGAAACTGCATCTGTAATCGAATACTGTTGAACAACTTGTCCAAATGGTTTGAAACAATCTTTTTGTCCGGTTGTTTTGGGTTTTCAAACACGCGCCACAACTTGTCCTCGTAACCCAAGCGCTGAAGAGATGAGACAAAAACATGCAGGTTATTTGCAATCAGCAGTCGAAGATAGGTGTGGAATGCAGTGGTACTGAAAGTCAGTTGCAATGGCCGCTGCCAAATAGCAATCGCAAATAATCGGATAGCCGTTGTGATCCGCTGATAGTTCAGGTATTGAGATGTATATTACCGTGTATAACAACAGGAATTTACAGCAAGTTTAAGTGAGTGCGCAAGCCAATTTAAGGAACGCTCTATGTATGAAAAGGGTAAATTCGCGGCGGTTTACGAATTTACACAACGCATACGTATCCAATTTTTTTTCAATGAAGGACATCAACACTGTATAGAGAACTTCGTTGTGTATAGAGCAAACGAAGCGTGAACTCAGAGCCTAGGAAGTACTGGAAAGCTGTTCCGACCTGATTTAGTCTCATCAGCAATGCGAAACTATCGACCAGACCGGGACCTAACGGGTAAGACACAAGCATACTACCCACTCGATTACCGGGCAGGTGATCAGACCTTTTTTCATTTCCCTTATACGTGATATAGCAAAACCCATCTCTACGGATTTAATTCAAGCATCACATCTTGTACATCTCATGGTTATTATTCACTTGGAAACATTCTGAACCTGACTGTTTGCTATAGGATAGCAATAATCGATCCTCTAATCACCAGAAGAAACACGAAGTGGGAAACTAGATGTGCACCAAAATCGAATGCCTAGGAAAGAGAGCCACAACCTTTGACGTAGGTATCTTATATATCGAGTGAGAGGGAGTGCAAATAATTAAGTTGACGTTTTGTATTCGGAAGCAATGTTACAGTCTGCTTTCAGTCACGGTTAACTTAGCCAGTTCAATCAGGACGTGCATAAGAAACCCTCAGACACAGGAATGTGTCCAAACTTAGATGCGTCGGAAAAGATCAT